GACTCGGGATGGGAGGGGGGATATGTTGCGCGCAGGAAGACGGGAGGATCAATGTATTGTGGGTTACGGACGGGAGTACGTTCACCATGTGCACTGTCTAGGTTGGTAGGTACCTACGTAGGTTAAGGTGTGGAGCGGCCTGTTCTGGGATATGTGCTCTCCTCACTGCACGACAAGGAGGAGAGAAACACGGCTCGGAAAATGTGTGCCACCTGTGGGGAAGAGAGAGAACCTCTTTTGGGACAATTATTGCTCGACCAGGCGTGGCGAGGCAGAGGGGGGTTGGTTGCCTTCTTGGTCAAGGTCAGGTCTAGTTGGCGTGTGCGCGTGATGTGTGTGGTGATGGCTATGTGCGGACGGAGATGCTGATGGGGATCTTCGGCCTGGAGTTCCGAGGCCGTGTTTGTACACGCATTAGTATGAAGTGAGTGGCCAAATAGGGGAGGCGTGTGGCATATGGTGGTGGCTGGGGTCGGTTGTTGTGTCTGGTAAATGCTGACAAAGGCGTGAATTTTTTCTTGTTTTTTATTCTCCGAGATTTGGTCAGTTCTGACTGACTGTGGCCACGAAGGAAAAAGGGTGCAGTTGTGCTACACTACCTTACCACGACTACTTACCTACCTACCCTGAGCTTTGACCGGAGATGTTGGGGTTGTGGTAGCGAGGTTCATGTGGTGATCAAGTGAGGCTGGTGGTGGTTTATGATGGTGGATAGGCGGCGAATATTGCGGGATCGAGGGGCGTGAAGCTGAGGTGTACGATAGCTATACCTGGCCTCACGGTGGTGTCCAAGTTTCCGCGCGTTTTCGGGTTGTGCTGTGCGTACCAGAAGGGGTGTAGATGTGAATGTGGACCGGAGTGAGACCCTGATTATGAAGACATGATGGACTAGATCTGCAGTATGCGATGTGACGAGGTGGTCTGGCTAAGCTAGCTGGGGTTTGATATTCAGGTACCGTTTCCTTGGACGGTAGATGGCGTACCTGAACGAGATGAGATCGGATGGAACCGGCAAGGCTTCAGACAACCGTTTTGCTTTGTCAGATCTTATCACATCTGTCATTATGTGATGAGATGGGACCGAGATGACATCGGACGAAAGATAGGAATATTTTCCTCAAGCTGAAACGAAACGAGGAGGAATCTCCATATGATCCCACGTACCAAGCCTAGGGAACCGTCTACATCAGAAGCGATGATTCCGGGGGTCTGGAAGAAGACAGACGTGATCTCGCTTGATGCCGTTGGGTCCAAGAGCGGGCAATTCCCCTTCGTTAGTGCGAGTAGTTATCGATGTAGATGTTTGTACCTACTCAACCTCACCGTCTTGACGATGAAATCAGCGAGGTATGCGCGAGAAATCAACAGTGAATCGGTCATTCTAGCATTACAACCAGGCCTGAGCACTCAACTCCGAGACCAAAAGGGCTGGTGGTAGTTGTAGCAGATTTCCGTAGTGCTGATACAAGGCAGCCACGGAAGACCTGCCCGTGATACGACATGTTTGTTGGGCACAAGGCAATCAATGCCTGTCTAACGTTGTGTAGAGTTGTATGGGCGTTGTTAGAAACCAAGTTATTGTACTGCTTCTTTTCGGGGAACCACGTGGTGGAACCGGAACAGTACATGGAGACGGCTCGACTTACCTTGTTTCATCCAGGTAGGGTGGTGGGAGAAGTGTGCATATTATTCCGGCAGTCAGATTCGTCGCTGGCCTCTTAGATGGTGGTTGACGTCTTAATTCAGCATGATAATGATGATTTCATCATGGTCCGATCTGAGATGGGTTGTGAAAGCTACGCTGGCCTACCTTTGCTGGGTGTCAAGGTCAGTCACGGCGAAAAAATAGGGCCGACAGTGCAACGTCAAAGGGTCCATTTTGGCTCTTCTCCTTTTAATTTTCAATGCCGCTGGCTTTGTGGGTAGTGGTAATATAAGGTACGGTGGTAGACTCTTGAGTGTTTTGTTGCATGATTAGCGAGTGCGATACATCTGAAAGTTACATCAGCCTTCTGTAGTGTCGGTGATGCTTTTGCTAAAGCCTCAAGTTTTCGGGATCAATCCCGACGTCCATGCTCAGAGGGTTCCATATTGGTGTTTTTATCGTTGCATCTTGGACGGGATGGAACTTGTTCAACGGTCGGTTTTTGTCTTGGGTGTCGTTTGTTGGGGATACTACTGTGTCAATGGGCAGCCAGTCTCGCACCGTCATACCGATAGCCTTCGCCGCAGCAGGCAAAAAGGCTTGTATCACGTTGCCTTCAAGGTGAGCCCGTTCTGATGAAAGCTGCGACTGCCGGCCCCTCCGTTTGAGCATGTCCCGGACCGGTCAGTTCGCCGTCTTGCGTTCCACGGCATGATGTGCTGTACAGTACCGTGTGCCGGTAGTTGACTCCGTTGTGCAACCAAATGATGGAATCATGTCTCGGGAGTCGGGATATGGTTGCTTTGGCATCTTCCCCTGCAGCTGATCGGAGTCCCGTGAGGCATTTCAGCATCTGATGATGGGGTAAAGTGGCAGTCGCTGGAGGCTAGAAGCGGAGGAGCGGCCGGCATGTGGACTTTAGAGCCATTTGGGTAATCGTTAACCATAGGGATGTGCTCCGTCCTTCCTGTTGCTGTGGAGGACGACCGGTCCGTGAATACATGGGTCTTCGGTCAAGCTTGAGGTTTGGACCTGGAGTCTTCGGTGCCGAAGATGTTTCCAAGCGCCGAGAATCGATCTCCGGGGAAGGCCCCTGCGCCCGATAGGACGGGATCCGCTGCCGTCCGTGTCGTTCCTCCGCCCGTGCCGCTCCTCCGCCCCGTGCCGCTGAACGGCTTGTGTTGTGTTGGAGGCCGGGGCCGCACTGGCCACTCCATGACAGAATGCGGGGAAGGATCGTCGTCAAGACAGCCCCTCCTTTTGGGTCGACACTAGGATCAGGCCTAACAGCTATTCGCATGAACAACAGCTCGAAAGCCCTCAAATTGGGTGTTGGAGAGTGGTGTTCAAACCAAAGGACAGCGATTCTCTTGACGCTGGTATGGCTTTCTGACAAAACACTCTGCATTCAAGACCCTTGATTCAAGGGTTATAGAGGCCCCCGATCCATTGACCCTAACATTGTCTTCCAGCTGGCACTTCCCGGCAATCTGATCGTTGCCTTGACGCAAATAAGCGCGGCAAACCAGAACCTGTTTTCTCCCTCCTCCAGCTTTCTCCCACAAGAGGCTGCTGGCATGAGCTGGGGGTCCAGGAATGTGCTGCCATTGGGACTGTCGAAGCCCGCATCACGTGATGTGATAGCTCGCCTCTCTGTGTTCAGCCATCTCCTTTTCAGTCGGTCGCGGGGATCGTTGTGTCCAATCGTCGGCTGCGTCACAGTGGTCGCGACTCTAGCCTGTCAGCTGCGTCGTGAGGTGATAGCAGTCCCATTGGAAGAAGGCCGGCAACTGATGCTTCGGAAGGGGGATTTTCTCCACTAACACGGCAAGCGAAGGACCCAAGCACCCAAGACAGCGTTCCGACGGTCGAGGCCTCAGGCCGTCATCACCCCTCATCTCATCTTTCCCTCTCGTCTCTCCTGACTCACCTCACCTTGCCCACGACCGACCCGCTCGCTCTTCCTCCACCCGACCGAACTCCCGCATCAGGCCTGATCCCTCCTCCACGGTTCTCGGCGGTGCCCAAAGCTGGTGATCCTTCAGCTGTCTGCAGAGAGCACTTGCAAGCTAGGACGGGTCAGGTATTTATTAGGCTGCTGCCGGTTTTTCATCCGTGGTTGGGGCGAGCCCAGGGCAAAGCCAAGGGGTGGCACCGTGGGCTGTCGGAAGGAATTGTGTTGTGCTGGCAATGCAAGTGGTCCAAGTGGGAAGCCGGTGAGCCCAATCGCAGCTCTGGGGCATCTGCAGACCCGCCTCCGCCGTCCAACCACACTGGACCATCTGGCCGACGCTTCGTCTACCCCCCGTCGCAATTCTCTTCCACCGTCCACCTGCCGCGGCACAGAGGCACTCAGAGTGCCAAAGCGGCTGTCAACACGCCATCTTGTTGTGTTTTGTGCCCCATCAGACTCCAGACCCGTTGTCCTGTTGTCGTTGAAGTGAGCGAGTAATACGGGGACCAAGACGAATCGATCGAATGGCCGACGTCGAAGACCAGCAACAGGGCGGGCCTAGGACTTCGCGAAGCAGTGTGCGGAAGAAGCGCACAGGAAAATCTCCCAAGCCGGAGCCCCAGTCCCAAAACGATTGGACATCAGCCGGTGGGCCACGACCCCGTCCGTCGCCTCACCCGAAACGTCATGGGGATATAGACATAGACATAGACATTGTCGAGTCCTCTGACGACTCAGACGACGCCCAAGCGTCGCCTCCCAAGCAGCAGCAACCATCTCGACGTCCTTCGAAGCAGCGTCAACAGCTCCCGAGTCCCACCGACTCCGAGGACTCCGACCTCCCGTCCAAGCCGCCGTCCCGTTCTCGACATCGGACTGCTGCCATGCGGCCCAACTCCACCGTGCCCTTGGTCGACACCAAGGCCATGGCCCGCCGTATGCAACATCGCCCTTCATATGACAACGACGACGACGATGATGAGCCGCCTATACGTCCATCGCGGCCAGCAAGCCGCCAGACGATGGCATCTCGTCGCGACCAGAGTTCTCGCTCCGCTCACCGCTACAGGTCCACTCCTGAATCTAGGCGCTCACCCCGCACTTCCATGTCCGATTCTGAGGGCGAAACTGACGTGACCGAGGATTCTTTGGAGGAAGTGGTTATTCAACAGCCTACCCGGAGAAGGAAGCCTCCGGCTGTTCCCACCGCCCCGGTACCCCCTCCCGCACCGTCCATGCATGAGCGCCTCAACCGGCGCACAGAGGAGCCCGAAATTGAGGTCGTCTATGAGGATCCAGATCCGGAGCCGGATTTTGCATCGACAAGGTATGAGCAATCGGTAGGTGTAGGAAGATCGCGAGCTCAATCCCGAGCCCCTTCCCGAGCACCCTCTCGAGCTGCGTCGGTGAAGCCGGATGCCTATCGTCGTCCGAGAGACGTTTCCCGTGCTCCGAGTCTCGATGGCGACCGGGCTCGGTCCAAATCCCGAACCAGAAGGTATTGTCAACCGCCTCCGAATAGGCAGTATTTCTCAGTAGTAGCTAACCCTGGCGATAGACCGTCGACCAGGCAGTATGAGTCAGACGCTTATGTGTCGAGGGCCCCTTCAGTGTTCAGAAGAGCCAACACCACCATAGAAGGGTCACACCATGCGTCGTCACAGAGCTTCAGCTCCAAGCGGTCCATGTTTGCCGATCCGACAGCTGCCAATAACATGCAGTTGGAGAGGCAACAACCCAAGAGGTTTACCACTTGTGTCTCATGCAGAGACAACAAGACTCTGGTTGAGAACACAGCCAAGCTCAAGTGCGCACATCGCATGTGCAACACTTGCCTGGTGCGCAGCTTTGAGCTGTCTCTCCGAGGCCCACAGCATATGCCCCCTCGATGTTGTACCGCAGAGCCCATCCCACCAAAGCACGTCGACAAACTGCTGGGTGAAGATTTCAAAGCCGAGTGGAACCGAAAATACCGTGAGTATACGACCAGAAGCCGCATATATTGTCCAGAGGAACGGTGTGGCAGGTGGTTCCAGCCCGACAACATTCGTCAGGAGAACGGGCGTGGGCAGGCAAAATGCACTCACTGCAAAACAAAAGTCTGCTGTGCTTGCCATGGACTGTGGCATCCGCAGTACAACTGCCCAGGCGATGAGAACACAGCACAGTTCATGCCGCAATCCAAGCGAGATACATACCAGACCTGTTATCAGTGCCATCACATGGTCGAACTCGCTGAAGGCTGCAACCATATGAAGTGGTAAGTCCAGGTTCCATGCCACCGCAATCATGATGGTTCCCAGCTAATAACCTGTCCCTATCAGCCGTTGTGGTGCTCAGTTCTGTATGCTTTGTGGCGGTCCGTGGAAATCGTGCGCATGCCCCATGACGAATAACTCGGTCCAAGCTGTACCTCGAGCAGCCGCAGACCGCATGAGGACGCTGATGGACGAACCCCCGAATCCCTTTGCATCTGCGCCGAAGTACGCATCTCGTGTTCCCTCTCCCCAGGCTCTACGGTCGGGATTCCCGGCCTCTTATGCAGGCACTGTAAAGCCTCGCCCATCGAGCTACGAGGAAGAACCATATCTTGCTCGGCGTATGGAAGTCCGTGAAGAACCTCATCATGCTCGCCGGATGCATTCTTTTGATGATGCTTTTGGTCATGTCGATGACCAGGCCGAGTACGGTAGAGGAAGGGCAGGTGTCAACGTCTTTGACTTTGAAGAACAACCCCGACGACGCATCGAAGCTCGGAGCCGCGGAGCGTCTTTTGGAAACGGTGATTTCCGAGCTGGGAGGGCTGCAACGGTTGTTGCACCATCACCTCCGCAAACACATGTTCCCATGGCGCCGCCACCGCCTCGTTCGGCATTTGAGCCACCCTCACGCCCCGCCTTCGACCGAGTACCACCTCGGGCCGCGCCGCGCGCTGATTATGCCTCCGAGGCCTATGCTCAAAGAGCGGCGCGCTATGCTTCGCCGGAGCGATATGAGGAGTTTGCTGCCGAGAACTACACAGCCGACAGACGGAGACCGTACTCGCCCGAAAGACGACAAACATTCCTTACTGCGAGACGGCCGCGTTCTTTGGATAGACACCATCCATTTGCTCAGGAGCGGCGCGAAGAGTCACCCGATGGTTGGCAAGTCCCGACGCGTTTCCCATCCCCAGAAAGAGGAGCACCCATGGCGATGGAGATTCCGCAGAAGCCACGACACATGCTCGCGCCCGAGAGGCACATGCAGATCCCAGAAAGGCACATGGCACCCCAGGATAGACACATGCAGCTTCCTGAACGACACATGGCCACTCCTGACCGCTACGCCTCCATGTCGGAAAGGCACGCCCCGATGCCGGAAAGACAACAACAGCAGATGCCAGAGAGGCACATGGCAATGCCCGAAAGACAGCTGGCTCATCCTGACGATAGACTCCGTGCTCCTTCGCCCGAGAGACGCCGAGCGTCGTCATTCGACAAACGGCTCGCCGATCGTTTCAACCCGGAGAGCAGACAGAGTCCAGGAGCCTACCACATGGGCGGGATGGGCCACGCCGTCCCACCTGCTCCTATGACCACCATCGGAGTTGGCCCTGTCGGACCGCCCGGACACATGGGACACATGGGCATGATGAGTGCGATGGTGCCCCAGGGGCCGCTGAGTCCTACAAGAGGACCACCGCCTCTTTCTCGCACCGCATCGCACCCGGCAGCAGCAATGATGCACGGACACGGAGGTGGTCCATCAATTCCGGTCGCTCCGGTGCCGCCACCGGCTATTTCGCATATGCCTCGCAGGCACACCATGGAGGAGGACATCTACGTCTCCGGCCGTCATCCAGGAGGACCGACACCTGAATGGTTTGGTCCCCCGGGCATGGGCATGGGACTGCATGAGTGGGATCCCAGCGGGGGTTCTGCCCGTGCTCCTCACATCCGAAGACGGGCCACGCAAGCTCACCGGGAGCACAACAAGACTGAGGCCAAGCCCTCGATGCAGGCTGGCCTGAGCGGATCTGGGAGAGGCTTGCATCGAGTGTCGGAGTGGGTGAATTATATTGAGCCTGGCCCGCCTGAGGATACAATGGGAGGAGGTGGCCCTGCGACGATTGTGGGATAGCGTTTTGTTTTTTCTTGTCCTCATTTTTGGATTTTTCTTTGGCTATTTTATTGTATTTCTTATTCTTTTTTCTTGGGACATTCTGGATCTCGTCAACTTTTCTTTATCACGTGTGTCACCACCACCACTACCACAAGCAAACAAAGCGAAGCGAAGCGATCATTACGTTGGGAGAGGGAAGAATTTCTGTTATGAAGTTATGATATCAATGGACTTTGTACAATTTGGTACCTGACGTGATGTGATGATGGATGAAGGGGCATCGAGAAGCATAGGCATTGTTTTAGGCATAGGAATGACGACATGAATGGTTGATGATATCATGGGGTTTTTGTTAATTTATTTTTATTTTTTATTTTTATGGGTATTTGTTTTGCTCTGTCTTTACCTGCTATTCTATTGGTTGATTTGTCTGACATTGTGTGTATATCTCAGGCTGTCATGAGAGTTAAGTACAGGTAGGTTGAGGAGGGGGATGGTGTTTTGGGTTGGTGTTTTGGGTTGGTGTTTTGGGTTGGTGAGGGTCTCGGTCATGAGAAAGAAAAGAAAATGATTGAATTTATTTGTTCCCCTGCCCTAAACGACAGTAATGGTTGTTCTATTGCCTCAGCTGTGTCTCATCACTCTCAAGCGCTGATATTTAAAAAAGAAAGGATGATAATACCTATTGCACGCTAAACAAAACTACCTATCTAAATCTCAAAGAAAGCACAATACAGTCTAAACCCTTAACCTCCCCTCCTCTCGTCGAACCCTTAGCTTGATCTACTCATCATCAGGCCCCAAAGGAAACTCACTCGCCGCAACATTGCACTGCCTAAACAACCTCACCTCCTCCTCGGCAAACGCGCCCACAACACTATGCAACACCCCCCTGTTGTGGAAAAGCACAAAATCCCCCTCCTCCCAGTCATGCGCGTAGACATACTCGGGTGCAATCCCCGGCCTCTGCAGCCTATGCACAATCTCCCTCACCTCCGCCAAATCCTCAATCACCGTCCCATCAGCCAAGTGCAACTTTCTAATCGCAGAAGGGTGCACCTGCAGCGCTAGCTTTCCCGTGACAGGATTCTTCCAGCACATGGGCAAAATCTGGATCTTGTCTTGTTCAATAGGGGGGAGGTCCCCAAGAGGAATTTCTTTGCCTTGGGAGACCATACCCAGCCCGTCAGAGCGGGATTTGGCGCCTGACATCCAGATGTAGGGGTGGGGGGCGTATTCCACGCGGGTGGAACGGCAAAAGGCTTGGTCTTTGGGGGAGAGGATGTCGTAGGAGGTGCATGACGAGACAAAAGCTGTGGTTCCCAAGGGGACGGAGAGCTCATCCCCTGTTCCGTCGTCGTAACGGCAGATTTGCCTGCGGCCAGAGGGGACTTTGACTGCCAGGAGGGTGGTCACGATGGGAGGGGCGAGGCCGTAGAGGGCGGCGTCGATGTGCCATCTGTAGAACCTCGTGTGTGTGAGGTCGTCGGCTTCGGGGATGGAGGTGGCGTGGAAGGTTTTGTGGTGGGGGTGGCGGAGGGTGATGTTTTGAAGGCCTTCGTAGGAAGACACAAAGCCGTTGCCGATGACTTGGACTTGGGGCTGGTGGGGGATTGTTTTGAGGTCGGGGTGGAGGATGGAGCGTTTGGCGTCTACTGTTTTGCCATGACCATAAGAGGTTGCGAGGGGATCGAAGCGGTTGGTGAGCTCGTATTGGGCGCGTGGGGAGACGTGGGATTGGGATTTGAAGATTACGACTTGGTGGGTGAAGAGGGCGTCACGGATGAGGGCAAAGTCAGAGTCTAGGTGGGGGATGTTAGTGGAGGGTGTTCTGGGGTTAGTTTGATGATTGGGGTGGCTTACCGAGGAGGTTACCGATTTCACGGGTATTCTCCCTTTTCTACAGAGGTCACATTTTTTCATCATGTATGATGCTTTTTCATGTCTTACCAGTGAGGTTCTCAATGTCAATGCCTGTGATGGTGGCTCCGAAGTTGATCTTGGAGCCCTCGGGAGGCGTGAGAGGTTGGACAACGGGGCCGGTGGCTGAAGGCATGGTTGTGAGTGTTTGGGGTTTAAAGGTTCTTGATTTGTTCTGTCTTGTAAGTCCGGGCTGAGGATGAGGAGCTAAAATTGAAGTCAAACAAGGAGAGCAGCCGTCTCTTATATCTTCCCAAGTTTCCCGTCATGACGTTGATGCTTATCTATCGGCCAGGATCTTTATCACTAATTGATGTCGGTGGTGACCGATAACAAGCGCGGATTTTGCCCCGCTGATAGCGGACGGCCGAACTCGGTCTTCGGCGGGGCGGGCTTCGCCGGGACCCTCAGCTTTGCTGCAATGACGACACGGAGATGCCCAAATGGGTTTCTTGTGATTTTTAGGACGCAAAAGACACCATATGGAGTTCATAAGAAGTTTTGCGCAATTGTTTCTGATGTTTCGCATCAGGCTCCTGATACATCGTCGGTCAGAGTGTGGCCGGTGAGGGTTAGGGTTCAACGCGCCTACCGTATAAGTCGAGGTTGATGGCCCTTCACCAGTACCTTGCATAATGGAGTAATACTGATGGAGAATCTAAATCTTATGAAAATAAGAGGATACGAAGCCTGATTCTTAGATGTATTACTTTTGCATGGAAAGAACTCCTGCGACAGTGACTGCTTGTACTTGCCAAAATCAAGGTACCTGTTCCTAGCCTTGCGTGCGCCTTCCCTCTGAGCAAACGCACTGTTGATTACAATCGCTTTTCTTTCTTGCATCGTCACTCTAAGTCTCCAAAATCATCGAAACTTATGAGCTCTTATCGCCAAATGGTATATCCAAATGCCCGAGTCCCAAACGCAATACCGATAAGCCGAGCCCGAACAACACAAACCCGCCCCCACGATCAAACGCCGATATTATGCCAGTACCATCAATTACTTTTCCGACAAGCATTATGCTCCAATCTCCTCCCTCAAATCCTCCAACATCTTCGCAATCTTGATGGAAACGTCCGTCGACCGAGGGATATCGTGTCCACCGCCGTGATCGTACTCCTTCCTGTTCTCGCAAAAGTACGCCAACTGAACACTCGATGGCCACCTTGGGTCCTTAGCACCGTAGATGTGAATTGTTGGAATCTTGATCATGGCTTCCTTTGGCATGGCGGTAAAGTCAATCCCAAACACATCTGTCTCGTCTGGCATCTTTGACGGGTCGTGAAGCAACCCGTTGACGTCGTCCCACAGTCCCATGCCCGGCTTGATTTTGTCGAGATTCTTCGCCAGATCAATCAATGCGCCGGCCTTCTTCTTGAGCAGCGCACCCGTGGCATCGTTGACAGCATGGGCCTTTTCTGTGATGGGCAAGTTGAGATCTTCGAGGACACCGAGAGGGAGACCGCCGCAGATGAAGATGGCTGCTTTGAATGGTAGAGGTTCCTCGGGTGTTTCGAGGTTGTGGTAGAGAAGGAAGCTGCTAACTAAGGAGCAGCCCTGGGAAAAGCAAATCACGGCGTCGTAGGGTCCGTTTTCCTCGATGTAGTCGATCAACCACTTGTGCGCACCTTTGATGCCGTTGATGGTCGCTTTTGGCCACCAAGTGTAATGACTGGAGTCGAACAAGACCTTGATACCTGGTGCTGGGGCGCAATGAAATGGGGCATCAACAAAGTCGAATTCGTAGCTTTTTGGGAGCTTTGCTCTCAAAGCAACTATTGCATCTGTAAGTGTGCGATCTGATAAGATTTGGGGCATTGCAACTTACCTGTTTGAGATTTGAAGATGTAGGCACTTGTCCCTTGACCATGGAGACCTAGAATTCTCATCTTTTTTTTGACTTGGTGGGTTGCCTAGCGAGATCAGATGTTGGAATGTAGCAAGTCGAGGTCGAGATGGACGGTGGATTCGGGGAAGAGGCTCTTTGTAAGTCTGGATGCTATCTACAGAAAACCACTGGGACAATGCTTGGAAGGTGAGGCTGACTCTGAATCAAACCGTTACGGCCGTTGCCTTTCTATTTAAACAACCGCATCGGTCTTGCTTAGAGCGCCGTTGCAGAGCGCCTCACATAAGCTGGTTCGGGGTCCGATTTGGAGAGAGTCCGTGGCTGACCGGCTGGAGCTGAATACCTTAAAGCGGCAATAAACCGCCGTCCGACATTCCCTAGTGTTGTTTTTGCCGGACACCGAGTCCATGCCAAGATCTAAGACAGGAACCTGCCTCTGTACAGGAGCCGGACCAGGAACCGATGCCCGTTCAATGGCCTTGGGCCTGATATTCAGAGATAAAAAGCTGTCGGTTTCCAGCCTAGACCCGACGGTCCCCTTCAAAGTGCGCACTAATAAAGGTCAGCGATGCGGAGATATCAACAGTCTACCGTTTTACTGCCACGAATTGGAGACACTAGGTGAAAGATGCCACCAAAGGGATGTTTGGTGGGTAAGACTAGGCGAGCTCATATTGTCTGTATCAGACAGGCCTAGAAGAACGTCTAATTACAGTTTCGGAGAACGCTGATTGACAAAGGCAGGCTACATTCTTGCTGTCATGTAAATGCAAGTCAATTGTTTCACGCCATCTCTAATGTCTTTTTTCTACCAATCTTTTATTCGTTACAGACATCAGGTCATTATTGCAGCCGCCTTCCAGAACGACATCAATCCCGCAGTCAGCACCCATAATGAAACGAGACCAAACATGGTACAACGGCAGAAAATTATGCATCTCTCCAACTTACCTCCTCCCACCACCCGCTCTCACGCCCCCTCCGGCCTTTGCACCAGCAGCCTTCATATTCCCAAACCATGCACTTTTGCCCCTTACACTTGTCTGCACTGGGACTCCCTTTCCGTGTCTCTTATCAGCGTGTATGACAGCCGGCATAACGATGTTTCCTATCGCCATCTGAGTAGCCTGCCTCATGACAGTGTGTCTCAACCCTCCTTTCCGCTTAGGGTGCTTTTGGTCGATGAACGTGTCGACAACAGCAGCTCCGACGGCGGCAGCGACAATCTTGCCACCTTTGGCACCTATCAATGGCGAGGGATCATCCCGCAGCTTGAGAGCGGCCACTGCTCCTGCTTCAAAGGCGGTGCGTGCGGCTGTGTAGATGATGTCTGCGGGAGAGTGGGATTCGTTGCGTTTTGATGAGGAGTGGTGGTGGTGGGGTGGGTGGGATCTGGAGCGGAGGTGCGAGTCTTCCCTGCCCCTGCGACTCCTGGACCTGGAACGCGATGAGACGGATGGTTTGCGACGACGACCTAGACGGCTGACGCTGCGGGCTAGGCGGCGGAGACGACCGGGCTGTTTGGGGGAAGGGTCACGGACACGGTCAAAGTCGCTCTCTGATGAGGAGGAAGAGGCTGATGATGATCGAGATGGCGACCGGTGTGAACCTCTCAGGGGGTGGCGTACTGATCGATGTCGACCTCGTCTTGAGGTTTCTTCGTCGTGCGAGTGGTGGCGCTTGTCTTGTGAGTCGATGCTCCTGTCTCTTTTTCGGCTTTGATGTCGGGACCTGCCGTGGTAAGTGCTGTCCTCGGAATCGGTGCTTCTGTCCCTTCTTTGGCTTCTGCGAGAGCGCTTCTCTCTTGACTCGCGGGAAGTGTCGTCGTCTGAGTCGACACTTCTTCCCCTTCCTCGACTCTTGTGAGAGCGGCGATCTCTTGGATCATGGTAAATTCCATCGTCTGACTCGACACTCCTCCTTCTTCTGTGTCGTCGATGATGTTGATCATCTGCTCGACCCCTTCGCGGTCCTCTGGAACTGTCATGATCATCGTCGTGTTCGGCGTAATCCCGAGCGTACGTTGTGCTCGGGGGCGTGGAATGACTGATGCGCCGGGGTAATCTTGATGGACGGGTAGGCATTACAGATTATTTTCTCTCTATAGATCGTAAATCATAAAAAGTGAAGAAAAAAAAGTGTCATGAGATGAAACTAGTGAGGTGATGAGTGATGACTTTGAGTCTTGAAGCGACCCCTATTCACCCTTGCCAAGACCAGATGACAAATATTTGTTGTTTTTGACGGAATTCTTTATTGAACAAGCACACACCCCTTTTTGAAATTCCATTTTCCCCGTCTGGACATGGGGATGGGGATATAACTAACTTTTTTCTGTTCTTTGTGTTCCCGGACGAATAACCTGATTTTTACCCCATACCCCGCGTTGGTGAAGCGTGGATGGTGGTTGAGCTGTAAGAATCCGGGCGGTGCGTCACTCTTGTCGATCACTTCCCTGCTTTTATAAAATCTGAGCCAGTCAGCATACACCACCCAACGAGAGTTCTAGAAAAGAAGTGAGGGGTTACACAACATGACTGACGAGGTTCCATCCTCTGGTGCCCGACCGATCGGACGATTGGAGTTAGGGGCGGTGCAAAAGCCAAGAGCTGATATCATTGTGCAGTTTGCACTGCCGTGGGAAAAAAGGACCCTGAAGATCGGAGGTTTTTAAATTGTTCGGTATTGATTGCCGAGTGGGAACAGATAAGGGTTGTTGTGTTTTTGGTCCAGCGAATCCGATTGTGTCGATGGACGGGATGATTCTGTGAAACGAAAGGGTGGAATGTAAGTTGATGTCACGTTATAGGTTTTGGGTTCTTTAACACAACTTGGAGGATGACGGGCTTGGGAGTTGGATATAGGGGACACAGAAGTTGTCATTGTGCATCACAGATATCACTCATCATGCAATAGTTCCAGAAGAGAACCCACTATTAAAATATCCCCATCAAAAGAAGGATAGAGACCTGTGCAAGGTGAAGTGGACAACGAGAGATATGACCCAGAAAAAAAAGAACAGCATAACGGTGTATCCCCAAACCCAACCCATAACGACCAGTTTTAATCTTAACCCCCGGAGGCCGTCCCCGGAATACTCATTCTCTTCGTTTTGTTCCTATCCATCTCTTGTCCATGTACGACATATGTTCATTTGTTTTGACGTATTAAAAGAAAAAGAAAAAAGGTCATGTACCTACTCACCCTCCAACGACGGATCATGAGACAAAACAGGTCACAGACAGATATCCTCCCACTTTCTAGATCATCCTTCGTCTTCATCCACCATTCCTTCTCTCACCAACTGCTCTGACCATAGGCCGTCCACTCTAACCTCCTATGTCCGTGGTTGTTGTTGTTGTTGTCTGTCTCTGTCGTATCCCCCTGTCGATATCCCTCCCCCCTTCTCCTTCATATCCCAAAAGCATCTTTATAAACATATCCATCATCCACATCAATCTCTATCACAATCATAACATTCAAAGTTCCAATCTCCTTCCAACCTTCCAACTCAAACCTCAACCTTCTGCCTCTCCCTATTCCCATTGGTCTTATTATCCTCCTCCGGCGTTCCCGGCATAACTTCCAACCTTGTCGACGGCCTACTGCAAATACTCCCCGACCCGCTCGCACTCCCTGACGTAGAGGTCGACGGCCTCCCCGCTCCCCCACCCTCGCCACCAGTCACCGTAGTCGGCACACTTGTATTGCTCCCATGTCCATGGGAATGAGTGTACACTATCCTCGGGTATCCCCTCGACAGCCTCTGCGGTTTTGCCAGGTGCAATTCCGACCCAGAGACAACCCAATCGTTGGTTGGATTATTGCTGCTGTTGTGGATATTGTGATTGTTATTCCCATCTGCCAAAATCCCTGGCGTGCCCGGGGAGGGCAAGATGTTGTCGTAACAGTTCTCGTCATGGAGAGATAGTTGCGAATCCAGACTGTGTACTGATGATTCCCGCCTTACCATCGCTTCCCTGGCTGGTGGTCTTTGGGGGTAGGCCGAGTCGGGTGTGTATCGTTCGGCGGGGTTATCGACCTGGGACAAGTCTCGCTCCTCTTTGTGCCCGAGGCTGGCGACCGAGCCGCGCTTGATGGTCTTGTGGTGGAGGTACTGGGTGCCGCAAAGGGAGCTTTGTGGCCGATGATGCGCCATCGTGGTAGTAGTGCTTCCCCGTATACTGTTGGCGTTCGTATTGTTAACGAGCGTCGGAACTTCCGACGTTCTAGTCCCGTTATCGCCATAGAAGTTTTGATGAAGTTCCTTCTTGAAGTTCTTCAGTTGTTTGCTGCGCCGGTAGCGGCAACTGAAGAATATCACCGCCGCTAGGAAGAATACTCCCATGATGATGCCCACGACTATGCCTGCGATTGTTCCACTCGGGAGTCCTCCCGAGGTTTCCTCCAGTGGATAGGCCATGGCAAAGACAACGCCCGTGACGGCCATGGTCGGTTTCGTTGTTGTCGCGGCCGGCGCGTTGGTGATGGTCTGCACCCCGGTGGTTGCTGTGAGAGCCCTTATACATGGTGTTTGGCCACCCATGACGGAGGTCCAAAGTGCGTAGCCGCTATGACCTGTAATCAGTTTTTGATGTTCACGGCTTCTTCTTCAGACGACATGATGACGTACCTTGGGCAGCAACTTCCAGAGACGGAGTAGTAATCGGCAGCACAACTTTTCATTATGGAATCTATTTGATTTTGCGGAGTGGGAAACACACCGGAACTGGCTGTGACAACGGCCTTGAACTTTTGAGCCATGGTTGCGGGTTTATAGGGACAGCAATCTGGTTTATTGTTGATACAGCCCACAAAGGGCGCATATATCATGGTCGGCCCGCCATCATCGATGAGTGTATACTGCGCCGACGCACACTCCCCTGTGAGCATCGCTCCATTTCCTGGATCCTGAGGGAGGTCGACGGCCGCAGACGCTGTCGGTTCCGGCGGAGGGGCATACGGGCTGGAGAGGCTTTGTCAGCTCAACTTCTCCACCATATAACTGCCGATATCGAGCACACTCACACGGCATCCATGGCCACAGAGATTGTCCGAGTGGGCTCTGCCACTCCAGCGATCCTGGATCTGGTGTCAGCCGTCAGCTCCTGCGGCTGGTGAAGCTCTTCCTACCTTGTCCTTGTTAACAGTGTTCCTCGCTTGGTAGAAAACAAAGGGTTTGCTTTTTGTGTGGTGGTCGTGTCTTGGGGATGGCCAGTGGTGAAAGGACCTTCGACCAAGACAACAACGACGGGGGTGGTGGTAATAGTGGTATACTCTGTCAAGACGGTAGTGGATCGTAAGGGTCGTTGGCGAGTGATTTCCGGATGAGAAAAAGGCGCAACCTGGTTGACACGGCGGCCAGGGAGCGATGGCCTTGGAGGAGGAGGAGGTTCGGGAATGATCAGGACATTGTCTTCCCTACCGCGCGGACTCGATAAATGCCCGACAACTTTCGTCGAGTAGGCCATGGTCCTACGGGAAGGATTAGACCGCAATGTTGAATCTCCGAGACGAGTGAGGATTACAAGGTGACGCGCGGACGACTCGCATGCTTCCGAGGTGCTCGAGGGCATGGCTCAAGGTGAAGAGGTGCCGGGCCACTTGAACGCCAGCCTGAAGCTTATTTAGTGGGAGCCATGGAACCAAGGCAAAACGAATGACATGCAGGACCAGAAAACCGCAAGACAGCTTGTTTTCCCCATAGCACTAATAAAGATTGAGATGTCTCTTGACATGTTGGTGCCCTTGAACCCGTGCAAATGCCTAAGAACCATGTTGGAAGCCTCAGCAAGTGACAAAATGAACAAACGCGATAGGAATAACCCGTCAGGGAATCCTGATCATCCACTATTCCGAGGGACAGAAGGTTAAGCTGGAACATCTTGCGCCCGGACATGAAGCTGTCGTGGTTCTTCTTCGACCAACTCTGAGCCAAGAGTGCTCGTTGAAACTCAAACTCTAAACGGGTCAACCGTGCTCAGGAACCCAAGAGCGCAGATTTGTCAAGAGTAATGTTATACACAACATTTGAGTGCCAGAATGCAGTTAATACGTAAGAAATGTCGTAATACAAGGCTTTCTTTGTGAACCTCATCTCAAGAACTGCGTCTGAGACTGTGGGATGAGATGAGGTGGATCACTTGATTCAGGCGTCCATCCAGTGCGGTCCACCACATTTTGGACAGAATAGCAGGTATTCGAAGATGACAGACTTGCCTCGAAAACCATCGAAGGGCCCTCAGAGACAGAACTTATAGAAGGTGTGTTGGTTGATATTGAAAAGGTCTTCGTGTTATTCAATTAGCCACTGTTTATTGTGTGTTTTGTGTAAGCAATTTCGTTTATTTTGTACAAGCTGGTCCCACCCCCACCTATTACATCACCGTGCTTCATGCTTGCCGCTGACCGACCTCAACTGAACCCACACCGACCTCTCCTCCACTACCCTACCGCCCTATCGCCTATCACGGCTGACACATTAACTCTGGTACGATGGGGGACTGGTGAATATGGCTGCCGACACAGCAGAAACCCAACTTGCGATCAGCGCCCTAGTTGCTGCCACACCTGCAGGCGGTGGTGGTGGTCCCGAGACACCAGCTCCAGTGCCCCAAGCTCCCACTCCCGCTCCCGTTCCAGTGCTACCACGCCAGTCCCAAGCCCAAAGCCAAAATGGCCCTCCTCCCCCTTCCCGAGTCCCCGAGCTCCCAGAGACCGAGCCCGTCCTGTTTCCCCCGCTTCACAACAGTGCCGACACAGACTCGGTAGCCTCTGGTAAATCGGCACCTTTGCGCACAGGCGCTGGCGCGGGGCTAGGCGACGACAACGACGAGGAGCCAGCTGTCGCGAAACCCTTCCTGCGAACATCGAGCCCCGACCCAGCATCATCGCGGCCAGGTGTAGGAGTAATGGCAGAAGACGACGAAGACGAGGAGGTTCGCCTCGGATATGGGGGTATCGATGGGGCAGGCCCCAGGTCGAGGTTGATGCACAAGATGCATAGGTTCAGTTTGTACGAGACAGCCAGTCGCTTTTATATTGTCGGCGGCGATGTCACAGAGAAGCGTTATCGTATCCTCAAGATCGACAGGATCAACGATGACGAGTCGGAACTAAGTATCACCGACGACAAGACAGTATATACTCAGAAGGACATGAACGAGCTGCTAGATACGATCGACGATGGGAACAAGGGAACGGGTGGACTGAAGCTTCGATGTACGACATGGGGTTTGCTGGGGTTCATCAAGTTTACCGGACCCTGGTACATGCTTCTCATCACCAAGAAGAGCACTGTGGCCATGATAGGCGGCCACTACGTTTACCAAATCGACGGCACCGACCTCATTCCCTTAACATCACCCAACCTCAAGGTGGATCAACGAAACACCAACACCGAGGAGTCGAGATTCCTGGGCATTCTGAACAACCTGGATCTAACGCGCTCCTTCTACTACAGCTACTCGTATGATATCACGCGGACATTGCAGTACAACATCACCAGAGAGCGGGCTGCGCTGATCAATGGCCACCCCTGTGCGGTTGACGATGATTTCAACTCCATGTTTGTCTGGAATAACCACTTGCTTCAGCCAGTTGCGAAACTTCTCAATGCGCCGTATGACTGGTGTCGCCCTATAATCCACGGGTACATTGACCAAGCCGCCGTTTCGGTCTACGGCAGGACAGCACACATCACTGTCATTGCTCGCCGCAGTCGGTACTTTGCTGGCGCTCGTTTCTTGAAGAGAGGCGCCAATGATTTGGGCTATGTCGCCAATGATGTAGAGACTGAGCAGATTGTATCAGAGGCCCTCACGACCTCGTTCCATGCGCCTGGTCCCAAGTTCTTTGCCAACCCTTCTTATACTTCGTATGTGCAACACCGTGGGTCTATTCCTCTCTACTGGACGCAGGACAACACAGGTGTGACTCCGAAACCTCCAATCGAGCTGAACCTGGTCGACCCCTTCTACAGTGCGGCCGCCCTGCACTTTGACAACCTCTTCGAGCGCTATGGGGCACCCATCTACGCACTTAATCTGGTAAAGTCTCGTGAGAGGACACCTCGAGAAAGCAAGTTACTCGAAGAATACACGCGTGCCATCAACTACCTCAACCAGTTCTTACCAGCAGACAAGAAGATCATCCATCGTGCCTGGGACATGTCCCGTGCCGCGAAGAGTCGTGATCAAGATGTCATCGGGACGCTTGAGGAGATCGCAGAAGATGTATTGATCACCACGGGCTTCTTTCACAATGGGGACGGTTACACATCTCCCATCCGCGTCCAGAACGGGGTGGCGCGCACAAACTGCATAGACTGTCTCGACAGAACCAATGCCGCTCAGTTTGTCATTGGCAAGCGAGCACTTGGACATCAACTCTACGCGCTCGGCATCCTTGGGGACACAGCCATCAACTATGATACCGACGCTGTCAACTTGTTCACACACATGTACCATGACCATGGTGACACCATAGCCGTCCAATACGGCGGCTCACAGCTCGTCAACACGATGGAGACTTACCGCAAGATCAACCAGTGGACAAGTCACTCCCGAGATATGATTGAGAGCTTCAAGCGGTATTACAACAACTCCTTTCTTGATGGGCAGCGCCAGGAAGCCTACAACCTTTTTCTGGGCAACTACATTTTTGCCCACGGCCAGCCAATGCTGTGGGATCTAGCAACAGACTACTACCTTCATCACGAAAACCCACGCACGTGGCTTGACAAGAGAAAAAGAGATTACATTCATTGGTATACACCGAAATTCCTCGAACCGCGAGTCCTCCCACCCTACCAGCCCACCAAAGGAAAGGCTCCCCACACCAGCAAGCCAATGTCGGCCTACGATGACTACTGGCTTGAGTACTATCGCCCTTCCACATTATCTTCCTTCCTCAAGATGTTCTCTTACAAAATGAACTCCACCCTCCGATACATCCCCTTCAAATCAACCCTCGACGGCCGGTACGATCTCAGCCCCTTCCGAGTCCGCACCGAGCTGGGCGACAGTGAAGCGCAAGAAAAGAAGAAAGCCAAGAAAGAAGTCACAATCGTTGCTCCCCACGACATGGTTCGCATGGCCGACGACGCGGAAACATCCTCGATCAACGAAAAGACAGGCCATGCTGGACCAACTCCCACCACAACAGCCAGCACAGGAAGCGGCAGCAAAAGCATCTTCTCCCACCGCTGGCTCCAACCAGACAAACATGCCACCCATGGTATAATGAAAGACACCTCCCACCACCCCAACGACAACAGCGGCGACGAAGCAGCAAAAAACAAACAATCGGCCCTTGAGAAATCCCGCGCGGCACAATGGACTTTTACCCAAGTAGTCCAGGAATCTCTCAACCCCACCGTCAGCGCGGTAGAAGCGGAAGACTACGCGCGTTACATTTCGCACCCGCAGAATTTACCGCTGGTGGTGTCGAGCGAGATACCGCTCTCGGAAATCGAGCCAGAATACCAGGAGTATGTCAATGGGAGTTGGCAGTGGGAGGGGCTGCCGATTTCGACGCCCTGGCCCCAGAAGCTGGGGATGCCGAGGAGGGATGATAGGGAGGAGGAGGAGGAGCAGGAGCAGGATAGGGAGTTATATTTGGAGACTGTGACGGTAGGGGAGAACCCGCTGACGGTTACCGAGGAGGATGCGCAGAAGAAGAGGTATAAGGCTTATAGGAAGTGGTTGAGGGGGAAGAGCTTGTTTAAACAGCAGCCGGTGGATTAGGAGTCTGAGGTTGGGGGGAAAGGCGGGGTGGGGGGAACGTTTGGGGCAAGCGGTGGTGGTGGTGGTGGTGGTGGTGGTGGTGGTGGTGGTGGGGCTTCTTGTTTGGAGAGGGCGAGTGGTGCGAGGGGGAGGAGTGGTGGGGGGAGTGGGCTTATCAGCGTGGGGCTGAAGATGAGGTCGTTGGAGACGTTGTTTTCTTCGAATGGGGTGGTGCAAGTTGCTAGGAGGTTGGAGCCGTTGAGTTTGAGAAGGAGGATTGGGGTTGGGAAGTAGGGGGGGGGGCGGTTTAATGTAGTGATGACAGTGTTATGGATACCTTACTTGATACCAGAATGGAGTGTACGATGGATATGTCTGTGATTCCCTATTTCGGTTGTACCTATTAGCTTTCAGTCTTTGAGCCCAGCTGTTCCAGTTTTGGTCTCAATTTCGCAGTCTTTAGGCGGGGCTTTTTCAGTCTTTGATTCCAGCTCTCCCAGTCATTAGTATTAACCTTTTCTGTCTTTTGTCTCAGCTTTTACTATTCTATTATGTTTGTTGTTATAGGCCTTGTATAGGTCTACTTTTATTATGGGAATCGGGCAGGGCCATCACGATTGGATTTGGAGAAGTTAAGTGGTCTTACGCTATAGATAAATCAGCGGCGCTACAAAGTTATCTAACACTGCATAGTATTTTGAACTACGCCTCAAAACATAAGTGGAAGGCCTTGAAAGATAGTCAGCAGGCGTCGTAAGAGAGTTAATATATGTTGAAGAAATGTTGATAGATCTTAAAAGATGGTTCATAGCCCTCCAAGGATAACTCAGAGGCTTGTGTCCTGCTGTAACGATTACTACACGTTTGGCTGACTTGCAGTGCTGGGACCCTTTCATATCCGAGAAGAGTATATCATCCGTATTGCTCATGATACTGGCAGGTGCCTTATTCATTGTACACTCAAAACCCCATATCATCATCAACCAGACCCAAAAACAACCCAGCCAAAGACCCAGCCTTCGCCACCAATGGCTCAACCCTCGCAGAGAGGTCCGTCCCCTCTGTCCTTGCAATAGCAGACAAAGCCTGGAAAGAAGTAACCAGTTCCTTTCTAACCTCTTCCAGGCTGTCGTCACTGATGTTGTTAGTCGGCTCATCAAGATTCAGCCAGCACATTACAAGCGCGTTAATAATCTCATCCTGCCAAACCGACCCAGTCATAAGCCTGGGCCAGCAGTTCCTCAGAACCGCCTGGAGTGCTTTGACAGCGGAGAGGAGAGTCCGCGGTGCGGCGGAAGCGAATGGGTCGGTGAGGATGGCGGAGATCATGGGAATCATATCCTTTAGGTTGGTCAGCGTTGTGAATCGGAAAATCAGAGATAAAAACGGGTAGGAAGTACCTTGAGATGTTTAACAGCATGAACCCCCATCGCGTCTACAATCTCCACCGTCTCTCGACAGAGCAGCTCGACAATCCTGACATGGTTTTTGGCGTGAAGGTACCCTGTGAAGATGCCCTCGCGGATCAGGTGGTCGAGTAGCTTGTGCCTGGGACTACTACCTCTCCCCTCTTTGCCTCCTGTGGCGGACTGCTTCCCTGCCAAAACTAGCAAAGCTTTGTAGGCTGGTTCCAAGAGCTGAAGGGATTCATCCTCGGGTGTTAAAGAAGGAAGGTAAGACAGTGTTGGAAATACAGCATCGGCAAAGACTTGGCCTAGACCGGTGTCCTGCAGGGTTTTGGCGGGGATCTTGGTGAGGAAGTTGGATAGGATGTTGAGGCCGGTTTGGCGGATGGGGGTGGTGGAGTCGTCAGCGAGGGTTAGGAGGACGGGGATATAGGAGGGCCAGTGGGTGCTTATCAGGGCGTTCTGTTTTGTCATTCAAGGAAGGTTAGTGACAGTACCAAAGTGATACATGCCTCTTTATACGAGTGCCACTCTTGCGTGAGACAGGACAAGATATAGGAGATGATACGTACATTAGCTTCTGTCACTGCCCATGAGAACACCGGAATGGAGCGAAGGTCAGTAAACTTCCATGGTTTAGTTGCAGCGGTGTCGTCGGGGATGCCATCTCGGGAGTTGTCGGTTTGGTATTCTGCTTTGCGGCCTGAAGAGGTGATAGTAGACGGTTTAGACTTTGAGAAAAGAGGCCGGAGATACGACTGGAGGATTGTAGAGGTGATGAAGTCGGTTTTATTGGGGAAGGGGTAAGTCTTGAGAATGGCGGCGGCTATCTTGGCAATTTTGGTGGGATCATCAGACCAGTTTTGGTCGGGGTGACAGTAGGCAATGAGAGTGAGGAGAGTGTCGTCGTCCAGGGTGGGTGGATTGAAAACATTGTCGATGGCTTCTAGGCATTGGAGACCTATCGTGGAGGCGGCTTTGCAGTGGGTATTGAGGGCTTTGCTGTTGTTGGACAGAGCATCATTGAAGGCTACATCCAGTTAGGCTTGACCAGAGTCCATATAGTAGAAGGCAGTTCAAACATACATGCTGGTAAGCCATTGTCGTCGTTGAGAACAGGCAAAACAGGCGCAATTGCTGTTGATATTACTCTCGCTAGCTCCTGTGCAGTGGCCTGGTCGCTTGCTTTCTCTTGTATCCTGTCTGGCTGTTGCAGACATGTGAGTGCAACCACCAAGGCCTTTTGCACCCTTTCTGTGTTCTAGTTTCGCATGTCAGTCATTCTGTAATACTCGTTGTTGAGTTGACGGGCCTACTGACCTCGGGCCTCGTCTTGTCAGATGAGGCAACAGTCTCACTCACCCCCGTGAGCAGCTCATCAAGTGTTATCGAATCCGGGACCTCTATACATTACCAGTTAGTTGTTACTGCCTTATCACGGCTGATCATGTTCATTAGGATTCATACCCTGTGATAAAGCCTGGATCGCATCTCCAATTGAGTCTGGCTTCTCATTCATTGCCGACGCCGCATCAAGCAGCACCTTGTACCAGGACATGATTCTGACAAGGAGACAAGCGCTTGAAGTTGTTGAGAAATAAAATATGAAGTAACGCGTAAAGTTTGATTCCGGTCCTCAAGGTCAGCGCTACTGGTCTGAAATGGCAACTGTGTTGAGGTTGTTGATGAGTGGTTGTGAGAGCCTTGCGAAAATCTGAGGAAAGCCCTCCCATCTGCTCTGGTGGGGGCGTTAACCGCTATAATTACAGCGCTCTACACCCGCCAAATTCGGGAAACAGAAAACAAAGGCCAACCTCAGGTTCAAACCAAGACACAAAATATAAAATATTCAACTCATGATGTATTTTTTATCACTCTCTTGCCTATTTAATCCCCAACTCAACCCGCCGCTTCTTCACCTCCTCAACTGCTCCTGCTGGATCCTCGACCCCTGGGTTCCTTAACTGCCACTCCATCACAACTTCGAGCGCCGCACCCATCCACCTCCCTGGCTTAACTCCAAGTGCCTTCGAGAGGTCAGTTCCATCAATGATCCTGTCGAGTTTCGTGACATGCATCAGATCAAGTTCTACCAGGTGGTCCAAGAAACGCAGCCATCCCATCAGAATCTCTTCCCGGCTCGTTGATCCTTCTAGAACATCAACCAAGATCGAGTAAAGAACTTGTAGACGCCAGCTACCCTTGGCTCTTGAGTCCCACTCTCTGATCGCCATACCAAACTTTGCCCTATCCTTCATTTCATCCTTGTTCTCATCAACAAGTGCCTTGAGCTCCAGAATAGCAGGACGGTGCCGATGGGCGGCAGTGATCACGTCAGATAGCTTGTTGGGTGCCTTGAATCCTTCCCTCGCGGCTTGAGTAGCAAGGGGCATGGCTAACTTTCCTGACTTGAGAGGGGGATCATCAGGAAGTTGCTCCCAAGGCGTGATGGTGGCCAATGACCAGGCGAAATATCTCGCTTCCTCTGTGGTGACGAGCAACTCCCAGATGGAACCAGGAGTGTTGTTGCTCTCAAGGAAGACCAAGCATTCATATGCGCGGTCCCACTTGGAGATATCTGGCTTTGGCATGTCGGTTCGTTCCGGTACAGTGAACACAGCATGGTAAAGCCCCAACCTGTTGATCAGCCTCAGGGACTCGACCGGGTGTTTGCCTGAAAGACAATATTAGCATTATTGTGCCTTTCACTTCTGTAAAATGTCGTCTGGATCTTACCCTTGAGCATCTTTTCCAACTCCACACCAATCCTCTCCCTGCTGATCTTGATCTTCAAGTTTCTCAGCACATTCTCATCCGCCATAACCTCCTCTGCCGCCTTGTCGATTTTGAACCCCAGTCGACTAGCAAACCTCACCAGTCTCAATACACGAAGGGGATCGTCCATGAAGGTCTGCAGTGGCTCCATTGGTGTCCGAATAATCCCCGCCCCCAGATCTGGCAGACCCCCGACAAGATCCTCCACTTCGCCCGTCTGTAAGTTGTAAAAGAGAGCATTGACGGTCGCATCTCGGCGAGCAGCATCCTCCTCGGCCTTCCCAAACTCCACCTCGGGGTTCCTGCTGTTCTCGCAGTATGTTTCCTTCCGCAAGTTCACAAAGTCCACGTCCAACCCGCAGAGCTTGATGGTGCTGGTCTCCAAGTGCTTCGACTTGTCTGGGTTGCGGGCCACAGTGTGAAGGCGGCCAATGTCGGAGTCCATCAGGTTGTGTAGCTGCTTGTTGCCTGGGATCTCGACATAGTCACGAAGCTTTCCAACGAAGGCCTCACCGGTCAAGTTGTTGATAGCCGTGTCGATGTCGTGGCTCTTAATTCCAAGTAGTTTATCGCGAACCCAGCCACCAGCCCAGCGGAGGATAGTCGGGCTGTTCTCGCTGGAAGAAGAGTCAATGTAGCGCGCGACGTCTACAAGGAGGCGCTTGAGCTGTTCTTCCTGCTCGGTGAGGGTGATGGTGCGGGAAACCATTGTTGCGGTATATGGCCGATGTTTCTTAGCAGGTGGGGAGGATAAGCTATGTTTCGATGTGCTGTCGCAGTACCTGCGTTTCATCAGAAAGAAAACGCTACCAAGCTCTCGAGGCGGGTGCCTGAACGACCGGAATCCCTGTGTGATTCCCAGTCGAATGTGCATGTGAGAAGTTTGGTCGCTCTTTCCACTGGTCGAGGTTAAGATAATGAGTGACTGTTGGGCCTTGGAAAACGCTCGCCGAGTGAGTCAAAAACTTTTAGTCGACGCCTCTGCAACCTCCACATCAATAAGATTCTCAACCGTGCAAAAGAATTGAAGCTAGACGTAAGTAGAACCAGCCTGATGAAATATACACACGGATGGATGTATTCCACCTGCTTTCCCCGCGGCTCAGTGTATCCTGATGCTGAGGTTCAAACCAAGCAGGTCGGCAACACCGTGCCAAAAGTGAAGGGTCCGCACAGTGCCAGTTCCAACCAATCACAACTTTCCTTTTAAATAAAACTGTACCTCCGTAAATTTAAAAACAAAACTTTCGGTGGCCCGTGCTAGCTTTTTCTTCTGCTATGCTGGATTGTCCTCTAAATAGTTTTTTGTAATATGGGCAAACGGGAAGGTGTCACGGACCTGACATAAGTGGGGAGCGCGGGGCGCGACCCGTCCAACCACTAGGAAGGGAAAAGTGGGGAAGTCAGATTATCACTAGCGCCAAGGGTGATAATCGCGATTATCACCAGCCTTCGGTGAACGACGAGTGATAATCGACATTATCACTGGTGATAATGGTGATAAACAGGTCTATATATATGGAGGAACCGGCTGGTGTAGATAGACAGTTCCGCAGTATGCAATTCACAATTGTTTTCACGGTATCTTGTGTTTACATTGAGACATCTTGTTGTGCACTGTTTAGCTGCACCGAACCAATTGTCAGAAGTTACCTTCAACCAGTATCCCTTTCAGAGGTTCTGTACAGGGGTTCGTCACAGAAGGCAAAGGACTCGAAAGCATTTGCCAAGGCTTTCTTTCCATCTCTCGACAGCACGGCTATGTAACCATAGCGACGGGAGACTGCTTTTAGCTCAATTAATACACTCTCGAGGGCTATTTTCCCACGTTAAGAGCCTTTTGAAGTCCAGAGGAGAAAAAGTCAGCACAGACCACCGAAAGTTTCGTTTTCAAATCACAGCTGAAGGATTATCTATGGGATAGTGAGCTTGTACACCGAACTGCAGCCAGCAGAGCCGCAAAAGTACCTTTAATCACACTTTACTCGAAGCCTAACACTGAATAACACTGCCAAAAAAAATTAAATAAAAGAAATTAAATAAAAAAAAAATAAATAAAAAAATTTAAATAAAAAATAAATAAAGATAAATCAAAAATAAATAAAAAATAAATAAAAAATAAATAAAAAATCAGTAAAAAATAAATCAAAAATAAATCAAAAATAACTAAAAAAAATAAGTAAAAAATAAGTAAAAAATAAGTAAAAAAATATGTAAAAAATATGTAAAAAATATGTAAAAAAAATTAAAAATTAAGTAAAAAATAAATTTAAAAAAAGTTTATTTTTTATTTAAAAACATATAACACCGAAGATTCCCCAGTGGTCACCTACCTAAGTACTGGTTTGGGGTGCGGCCACAGGCCTGAGAGTATGAGTAAGGAAGCGGGGCTCTCGGAGGACTCAGGGGTTCAGGGGTCATGTATATAAGCGGTCTGCTTCGGACATTCTATTTTAGACAAATCATCGACTTTTATTTTTCTTCGTATTTTGTGCCTTGCACGCGTGCAGGCAATTCTGGTCCTCTGATCAGGCCAATTCGGTGCTTATTATGTGGCCTGCGAGCCCATAGTGTCTTTTCTTTGTCCTGCGTGAAGTGCGGCCTGCGAGCGAGTCACTGTCACGCAGGTGTGTTCATTCAGGGACCTGTTAAGGGTATATTTGTGGTGTTGTGGTTGTTTTGTCTTGTGTGTTTTCTCACTATTTCAATATAACGTATATTATAAGCGAGTGACCCATATAAGCGAGTGACCCACTTCCCACCACACCGTAACAAACTATCCTCAATTATACTGCAATAACACTAGGAAGTAACTACAATTATATTAAAAACGGCTGAATCAGATGATTCCCCAGCCTCTTGGCAAGTGCGCGCGTTATGGCTAGGCTTGCCGCACACACTATAGCACCGAACCCTCGCACGATCTCCTCCTATATTACTACTATCTAGCTACGTTTTTTACACTTCCTCCCTATCTACAGCCTTCTGATCTAGTAGATCCTGTACCTCTTATATAGTAAGTGACCCTCCAAGCCTTACACGTGTTTTTTTGGTTCTCCGGCGCTTACTTAGTGCCTTATTAGCCTTACGGAGCGAAAAGACCTTTGCACGAAAGAGAGCCACCTAATATATTATAACCGTTATATCTTTAGTAAATTAGTTTACTGTAGTTAATATTAAAGTCGGGGAGCTATTTTAATAATTAATAATACGAGTCTTAATAAATATTAACTATAAGTTAGTTTCTCGAAAGTTATATAGTATTTAAGAGACCTAAGGTTATATAATACCGAGCCGTAAGTTTAAAGGTATTAACGTACGAAGCTTTATATTTAGTTTAAAAAATACTTTCTCTAAATTATATAGTATAAAGTTAGTACCCGTAAAGCTTCTTTATATATTTTTCTCTATTATAAAGGCGAAAAAGGTTTCGCGGAAAGTATAAAGGAACTCGAACTTATTTATATAATTAATATATATATATATTAAATCCTCGATTTAATAATTATATATTTATTTTAACGGTTTAAAGTAATTAATATCGAGTAACTAAAGGAAGTAGGAAGAATATAAAGGTATATAAAACGTAATAATATTATTTTATTAATAATAATACTTAAATTCGGTTAAGTAATAACTTTTATAATTATCGAAGATTAATAACTGGTATTTATTTTTTATACGGGGCGCCGTATAATAATCGAAATATTTAATTTAATTTAAATTTATTATATTAATAATTTAATTATTATTAATAATTATAATATATTAAATAAATAATAAATTATATTTAATATATTAATTAATAAAATAATATTACGCGATTAAAATAATAAAAGGTGGGATAGCCTAACCAAGGATATTAATTTTTTAAATTACAGTTACTTATTCGCGGTTATTAAACTAAATTAGTTTTATTTTATTAAAGCTGTTCGAGATTATAATTACTATATTTATAAAAATAATATTTATTATAAACCTAGTTTCGTCGAAATTATAAATATTATTATTTATAATATTATATTTAGCTTTAATATTCCGTATAAGCGTAAACTACTCGGTAATAACCTTTAAATTTTCGTACTTAGTCCTTTAATAATCGTATTTATATGTAAAACGCGTATAGAGTTATAACTAACGTTTAACGAAGTTATATACCTAGAGCTTACTAATAAGAGGCGCGTCGCGTACGTATAATAATTAATTAGCTATATCTTTTATACTATATAATTTTAGTAAAAAAGCTTACGTATATAGTTTAATAATGTATTAAATAATAACTTCCTTTTCGGATTAAGTAAGTTTTTTTAATATAGGCGTAATATTACGTCGTGCAGGCCAGCCAGCGCGCCGACGCCCTAGAGTCTTACGATCGACTCTATAGATCTTAGCTACGGCTCGTTTGCTTAGATTCTTGTCGTTTTAAAGTGTTTAGAGGGCTAAAATTATATGGGCTTCATTTAAATTAGAAGGCATCTTGGATGGTTAAGGAAATTGTTGTTGAGTGCGAAGGTATTATGTTACGAAGGAAGTGGGTCACTCGCTTATAATCTACGTTAATGATATTATACGGCTGCGAGGATTTGTAAAATAGTTTATGATATTATTGGGTACTAAAACAAACAGCTCCGGAGAGCAAAAACCTTTCTTTATCCTTCACATTGGCAAGTGGGCCTCAAGGCCGAAGCCCTGGAGCAACCTGCTTGACTAATCCCACAGGAGTATTACCTCCCACAGATGAGCTACGTGTCAAGATACGTCGTTTGACTCAAAGTGGAAATAAGTTGTAAGCTTGGATCTTAGATATGAAAAGTTTAGATAATATCTATCCGAAAATTAGACAATAAAGAGTAAAAGCTTGGATAGATAAATAGATGGTTACTTCCTAACTTTGATAGCTGGGAGACTTGATACACACCAAGAAGTTCACTATTGAATCAATGGCTCCTGTCGACCTTGAATTTAATTCATGAAGTTCTTGGACCAGCTAATCAAACAAAGAATCTAGAGATTTAACAGTCCGCGATCAAGGTAATCAAATCACGTCAGGATCTCAGGGTGAAGAGGTTGTTGACTTTGGATGTCTAATTTATTTAATGTACCGATGCTCTCTATACCAATCTCTACCTCAACCTTGATGGTCCAGATGATCCTGCTTTGGACTGTCTCCCGTCACCGGGCAGAGTCATTACTCATTTTCCAGTTCATTTTCTTCTTCCTTGGCCCAAGTCACGCGTCCCCCCGCCTTCACATTCAGACCTCGTTTTTCTTGCTGTAGTATGGTCTCTTCAATCCTTTTTTTCCTACGCTCTTCCATTGCCTCGTCAAACTCCCTCTCAAGGCGCGCTTGATATTCCTGTGGGTTTATGGGCGGTAATTGCACCGCTTCGAGAGCATATTTATATGCCTGCTCCCTGCATTCTTGGATTTGAATGGATATTGGCTCGTCTCTTGATGCTTCGATTGCCAGAGTTCTTCGGCTGGATTTGCTTGCTGTCTCTGGTGAGAAGGATTAACGCAAAACAATTAAGGTATAACTACTGCTCCAACCATTGCTTGCCACACTTTGTGCCAACGTAATTTCGTGTAGAGTCGGGGCTTGCTTTCACAGTTTGCCGCCACATACAAAGGTTGTGGGTTCCCCATTTTTGAACCGGCCTTCTGGTCCCTCTTCTTCCTGGATGCGTTCTTAGCCCTCTTCGTTTGGCTATGGCGTTGTCGTTGATGAATTTTACTGTTTCTTTCAGTTGGGTACAGATTCGAAGGGACAGGAAGGTCTTGAGGTCACTGCCATACCAGTTCCTGCCGCACCTTGTTTCCAACCAGACCCAGTAACCTGATAGGCTCCATATCGGAAAGCGTCAAATTGAAAAG